TCAACCAAATAATATTTTCCTTTGGCGGATGTGGAAAAGAAATTTCATTTTCGCAAAATAAGTCAATACCCTTATATCGTGTGCTCTACCTGGTACACCAACATATGCATATATGAACTCCATATCGAAGTTACATAGAGCAAAAACATTTGTTGTAGGTTCCATTTTCTTCACTATGTAATCCTCTAATTTTGAAGTAGGAGGACGAACTGAGATGTGGGTTTCATCAAGTTTTCCAATGCAGTTGATAACATCGTATTTAAGCCCACTTTTACAATGTTTTTATTAGGTTTTCCATGGAGTAATCAAGAGTTAATTGATACTTCAAGGCATATTTCATGTTTTTAAGCTTTAAGGAAGAATTATGAATTTTCAAGCAAAAAGGAGTAGAAGTTGATCAAATTCCGTTTCAGAATAGTTTTTGTGCTTCAGATGTTTGGCATCCTTCCTAGGTCTTCCAAATCACGACATCAAGATATCTTGGAGAGAATAGAAAGCTAGAAGAGTCAAGATTAACGTTGATGTCAAATCAAAGTAATCCATTAAGCCTTTTAGAAGATATGGCCCGAAGAGTGAAGACATGTCCTAGAATCGGCGATTTGGAAAATATCACTCTAAAGCCGCACGGCCATGGAGACTTGAACCCGAGCAGCTTCCCACTAACCATTGGATGCACAACCAATTTGTCCCCTCTTCATGCTGCCGACTTTAAACTCTCCTAAGAAGCCCATGATCTGACCCATCGTTTACTAATCACTAGAAAAGAAATTTCTACCCTTTAACCTAATGGAAGCCTATAAATACTTAGAAGCCTATAAACCCTAATATTCACTCAGCCTCTTGCACCTCCCTTGCTGCATCCTTCGTCAAGACTCTCAGCTCCGTTGTTCCACCTCGTCGATTTAAGCCGCCAAGTCGTCGCCCTTCGAAGATCCTTATCTTGTTCTTCTTAGTCTCTCTTTTCTCTTCTTCTCTTCTCTAATCTCTACTTGTTAAAGGAAGAAAAATCTTCAACTTTGGTTTTCCAGAGAAGATCTCTAAACCCTTTTACTAAACTCAAATTCTTTTATGCAATTTCTTATTCATATGATAATGTGTTCTTTGAGTATGCGTGAGTAGATCTCTAGATAGGTTTGATGGAGTTTCCAAGGAGATTCATGGGGATGTAAGATCTTGTTTAGGTTGGTGGTTTATACTTTCTTTCTAGTTGAGTTTGATCTTAATCAAAGTATGTCCAACACGCCACCTAGTACATGATCTTAGACGTTTTATACTTGGCAGAATCTTGTTTAATTTGCTTGAACCTAAATAACGTATTTTGCTATAACCTGTAGTCGTTGAGTTATTGGCCGGGCCTTATGGACTAGAATCAAACTTGAACTTAATGCTTTGATCTATCCGTCGTTACCTCCTCGCCCCTATAGCCTAGGGTTAGTTGAGTAATGGAATATAAGGAGATCAGCGGACTTCCACCTATAGGCTAGGGTTAATTGAACACTGATGTTATCACCTGAACTTGATTCTAACCCTTTATTTGCAAAACCATGATACTCGGAGAAACCCTAGAAGAACCTAACGCCTTTGCCATATTGCTTTACACCCACTTTCTTACATCGTTTACATTTTTTTCTTTTATTGTTTTCTTTTACTTTCATCGCACTCTTCGTTTATTTACATTGCATACTCCAAATCCTCTCTGTTGGGAGGTGCCAAAGACTCGGCTTCACTGTTGGGGCTTGCGCGGATGTTATAGTGTTGCAATATCCCTTAGGGTTCTCTTTGGTCCTTCTTGGGAGTACACAGGGTTACATCTTGACCCACTAAGATCTTTGCACTACTTGAGTCTCGAGCTTCTTCACATGCGTGGAAAGACTTTCAAACTTTCCATGCAACTCACCATACATGTTACATATCCTCATGTACATCTCTTGAGTAGCTTTACGATGATCGTTTGTTAGTTCTTGTATCATCATCTCCAGCTTACTCTCGTAGGATGGCGCTGGTTGGGCCGGTCCAGTTTTAAAGGGCGCCTTGTTGTTGTTGTTGTTGAAGGGAGCTCTCGCCTCGAAGTTATTGGTGTTGTAGTTGGTGTTTTGAAATCGTTTTTAGAAGGGCTTCATTGGAGGATAGTTTTGATCCTGAGGGTTCTCAACATTCGGTTCCTATAAGAGTGATTAGAGTTACCTCTAAAGTTGTTGTTGTAGCCGCGGTTGTGGTAGAATCCTTGGGCTCCAACATAGTTAACTTCTTCTTCTTGATCGAATTAATCATTGTTCCCTTGGAAGGCTTCCGTGTTACCAACCAACTCGCATGCATTCAGAGCATGATTTCTGATTCTTCAGAATTTGGGTCATCATGTTCGTCAGTTCGGAGATCTCCTTTGAGTCGGAGTCCTTAGAACGGATGGTTCTATCAAAATCAGTGGAAGCGTTACTGTTGCTAGCAGTCAAGTTCTCGATATGGGCTCGTGCGTCATTGATATTCTTGGTGGTTAATTCTCCATCGCTAGCCGGGTCGAGAGAGAGGTGAAACTTGGGATGCAATCCTTTACAAAAGGTACTTATGAGGTTAAATTTGGGGAAGCCATGGTGAGGATAATCGCGTTCATAGTCCTTGAATTGTTCCCATGCTTTGTAGAAAGATTCAACCAATCCTTGTTCAAATCCTTGTAGCTTGTTCCTAAGAGAGTTGGATCTTGACTTTGTGTAGAAGCGATTTAAGAAGGCTGGCCTACATCCTTCCCATGAAGTAATCGACCCGGGAGGCAGAGACTTTAACCATCTAGTCGCCTTGTCAAACAAAGAGAAAGGAAAAAGCTTACAGTTCAAATAGCCTCGAAGAGGTCGATATAATCCATCGGGTGCTCCTTGTTGAAACCATGGAATTGGTTTTGCTTCACAAGGCCAATGATTTGAGGTTTGATCTCAAAATCATGTCTTGGACTAGGTACTCGTATAGCATCTCGATCTTGTGGGTACCGGTTAGGCGCGTCGTAATCGACTATAGTACGTTGAGGACGGCCCGTCTTAGCGGTGGAACATAAGCAGACTGCCTAGCAGCAACATTAGGTGGTCGTGGAAGAGGAGGGATATACCTCGATTTCACCGCTTTTAGCTATATTCTAGGTATGTTTTTAGAGTCTTTTTGTTATTTTTAGAGTCTTTTATAGTCTTTTTCAGGTCTTTACATGTTTGAGATGCATTTGGAGATTATGGAGCTTTCTAAAGCAACATAGAGAACTTATGCTACACAAGCAATCCGGAGACCAAACTTTGCGTAGGTGTCGATCGACACCACCCTAGGTGTAGCGCGACACCGAGATCTGACGGCAATTCAATTACGCGTCTTATTGAAGTTTTGAAGATTTTCAAATTTGCCATAGAACTTCTTTCTATTTTCAAAGAAGTCCCTGCACGTTTTAAGGTCATTTTGTAGACCTACTTATGATAACTTTTCTTTACCCTTTATTTTACTTGTTCTTGGAAGCCAAAATCCTGTGGAGCTCCCTCTAGAGAAGTTTTTTTTAAACTCTATTCTCTTCTTGCTTCTTACATTGATTTCTACTCTAAACATGTTTTGTTCTTTTATGATCATGTCTAAATAGTTCTCATGTTAGGTTTACGGATTCTCAATAGGAATATAGATGAATTAGTAGATCGAAACCGTGTTAGGGTAATATATTTAGAATTCTTCATCTTTGATTGTTCTTAATGCTAGTTCTAGAGTAATTAACTAGAATTTGATTTTAGGTTAATAGGTATTGATCCGAAAGGGTGCTTATTGGTGGAACTATCTTAGATGGGCCTAGTATTTAGATGCGGACTAGCGTCGATTTAGATACTTAGGTGAACTTATCAAACATGATTATTATGCTTGCTTAGTTCTAGAGATTTACAACGAGAGTGTGGATCAATACTATTAAGCATAATTAGTTAATGCGCACTAGCGTAGGTTAACTTTGCAATTGTGATTTGAGTTCTAGAATGGTTCGATAATAATCCTAATTTATTGCTAAATTTACTATTCTGATATTTTCTGTGAATTTCTCTAAACCCGACGTTTTAATCATTTGAATCTACAACCAATTTTAGTTGCTTTCTTGTCTTTTATTTTTATAATATTTTATATTTTGCTTCATTCAAAACTGTTAGTCTATTATGTGATGTGAGAACTTTGGCAAATTTGATCCCTATGTGCCATAATAATCTCTTTATTTGAGAGAGTACTCAATAGGGGTAATTTGACTCAATTAAATTTGGCGCCGTTGCTGAAGTTCTCTTTGATTCAAAACACTAACCAAGATTCTTCTTGCTTCTCAAAGCTTAGATTGTGTAGCTGAAGTCTGTATGAATCGTTGGTTTTGTATCTTCTAACAAGGAAACACTACTTAGGCTTTTAAGATCAGGTTGCAGTTCTAAGTCTTATATGTAATCATACACATGACATCAAGTCATATTTAACTCCAAAAAACTAAAAAAGTTTCTCCTTGCTTCTCAAAGTTTTGATGGCGTAGCCGAAGTCCATATGAATCTTTTGGCTTTGTTTCTTCTAACAAGGAAACACTATTTAGGCTTTATAGATCGAGTTGCGGTTCAAGTTCTTATACTCAATCATACACATGACATCAAGTCATATTTGACTCCAAAACACTACACAAGCTTCTTCTTGCTTCTCAAAGCTTTGATGGTGTAGCCGAAGTCCATATGAGTCTTTGGCTTTGTATCTTCTAAAAAAAGAAACACTATTTAGGCTTTTAAGATCCGATTGCGGTGCTAGTTCTTATACTCAATCATACACATGACATCAAGTCATATTTGACTCCAAAATACTAACCAAGCCTCTGCTTGCTGTTCAAAGCTTTGATTTTGTAGCCAAAGTCTGTATCAATCTTTGGCTTTGTATCTTCTAACAAGAAAACATTACTTAGGGTTTTAAGATCCGATTGCGGTTCTGTTTCATATATTCAATAATAAACATGACATCAAGTCATATTTGATTCCAAAACACTAACCAAGCTTCTTCTTGCTTCTCAAAGTTTTGATTGTGTAGCCGAAGTTCGTATAAATCTTCGACTTTGTATTTTAAAACAAGAAAACACTACTTAGGCTTATAAGATCCGATCGCGGTTCTAGTTCTTATACTCAATCATAAATGATATGGTTCAAATTACCTAGAACTACTCTCTCAAATAAGAGATCAATTACAGTATTTTAGGATCGAATTCACGGAGTTCTTTTGTTCAAACAGTGAGTTAAATGTCGAGATTAAGCTAGCAAGGTATGAGTTAAAATAAAAGAGAACAAAGTAAGAAAACAGCAGATTGATTGTGTTGTAAACGATTTAATAAAGAGCTAGGAACAAGGTATTCTCAGGAAACTATTGGTTAGTAGATCTAATGAAAGCTAGGTTGTTATCGAACCATTCTTAAACTCAGACTCTAATTATGGAATAACCGGTGGGCGTGCTGCAAAACTCCATATATCTATTGCTAATAGTAACCGGAGAAGCCGAGAAACTATCAACCTAAATATGCATTCTTAACGAGTTCAATTGTTCATCTTAGTAGATAAGCTGATTCTTATTACACACCTATAAACCAGACTCATCAAATAATAGATCCAACTACAGATACCTATGGCGAGCATATCTATTGTCTATATTCAAGATCTAGTTAATTACTCTAGATCTAGCATTAAGCATAATTAAAGATGAAGAATTCTAAAGATAACCTAGCAAAGGGGGAATCTACTAAATCATATGAATCCCTAATGAGAAACCCTATTCTTAACAAACAGATTACTCAGACATATTGATTGAAACAAGCAACATATTTAAGTGTGAAAGCAGAAACACAATAAATAGAGAAGGGAAAAAAAGGGATCTCTTCACTTTATTAAGATCTGAATGTAACTCTGAAAACAATCGATGAATAGCTTCTGTCTCTCAGTAACAAGATTTTGTAGAAAACTTGATAATGAAAACTGGATAAAAGACTTTATAATGAAAACTAGGTCTAAAAACAATATAAAGAACCTAAAAACGACCAGGGACTAATAATGCAAATAGGAAAGTCTTCTGAGGCAAATTACCTCTTCTGTAAACTCGAAAGCGTCTAGGACTTTTGTTGGGCTGAAATTGGTGTCGATCGACACCAAGATTGTTTCGATCGACACCAAGAGTGTGCCGATCGACACTCCTCGCTGATTCCTAAATCCAAAATCGTCCTTAGCTTCCTTTTCCTTAGCTCTTGCTCCAAAATATCGCCTTATCTCCATTATTCTCCCATTGCATATTATACCTGAAAAGGCACTAAAAAGACTCTAAGAATATTGATAAGTGTGTATTTTGCATGTTTTGAGCATCCATTTGTCATCACTTTAGCATCACATCATCACTTTTTTATACCATTTCTCATCATTTGTCATCACTTTACATGTTTAGGATAGATTTGCATGCATGTTGCATATTTGCGTTGATTTCAGGTGATTTATAGCTGTTGACGAGCTATCTGGAAGAAGCGGACCTGATCATGTCAAACCACTCGACCCCGAGGTCGAGTAGGAGCTTCAAGATCTCAACAGATCACTCGACCCCCTGGTCGAGTAGAGGACATCACTACTTGACCACATCACTCGACCCCGAGGTCGAGTGTCTTCATCCCATCACCTGACCATCACTCCATCACATCACTCGACCCCGAGGCCGAGTGTCTTCACCTTCATTGCCAGACCACTACTCGACCTCATCACTCCACCTGGAAGTCGAGTATCACCATCACCACCACTCGACTGCATACTCGATGACAAGCTTCAGAGCCTTCTTCATTCCGCACTCAACCAGACACTCGAGCACAAGGAAGAAAAGAAGATCCAGCTATTCACTCGACCTCCCACTCGACCACATGGGTCGAGTACAGTTCTTAATCCGTCCCAATACTTCGTCGTTTTAAGTATTAGGGTTTCTGAATATTTGGCTATAAGTAGCATGTACTTCACATTTTCGCAGACAAGTTTTTATCTAGTTTTATTCAGCAGACCTTGTGTTCTAGACCTTTTGTAATCCGAATTTCTCTTTATCTTGATTTCGTTCTTGATTTCGTTTTCTTTTGTTCATTCTGTTATCATCCTGCTGTTACACTGTTGTTTTCATGTTTTCAACTTGTTCAACGTTTATGCTTTCTGTTATGATGTATGAGTAGTGAATAGGTTTCTAAGGATGGGTTAGAGTAGTGTAGAATTCTCAGTATGCTAGGTGATTGAGTATTGATTGATAAAGCCCTTCTGGATTAGTTGTTCTTAATGCATATTGCTTTCTGATCAACTGGAATTTGAACCCAGACATTTCCGCGCCCAAAAGGTGTTCGATGAAATGTCTGAACCACTAATTCCAGAGATTCGTGACCCTGTACCAAGGTATTGGTTGCAGGGAGCGTTTTGGCTTTAACTTGTTGATTCGTAATGCCTGTTAGGTTAGCTCTCGTCAATGGTGATTGAGTCTGGGACTAGGTTAACTTGAGAGTCTCTGTTGCGGTGGTACTTAGATTTGGTTAATGAACTTGTTGTCTAGGATTAATTTATTGAGCACGTCAATCACCTGTAAACTGAGGATTCGAAACCACTCAATTACCCCATCCTTGGGAATTCTTTATCTGATTGAATTCTTTGTTTACTCTACTGTTGTTTACTGCATCTTGTTATCTGTCGCTTAATTTCTGCAGTTCTTTCTTGTTACTCGACCTTATACTCGACCACCCAGTTGTCTGGCAACAGACTGTGCGGTCGAGTATCTGAGTTTTATTTTCTGTCTGTTACTCGACCTGTCACTCGACCTCACCCAGTGCTCTGCAAAGAGCTGTGTTGGTCGAGTGTTTTGCTGTTTCTGCTTGAATTTCTAATTTCTGCATGTTCACTTAGAACTGCTAGAACACACCACAACCTGTTATTGCTTGGCTTGATTTAGTGACTTCTAATCACATCTTGATTGTTAGCATCACACCCATTTGGATTGACAACCTTCAGTACTACAACGACATGATAGTGCTTTAGGTTTAATTGACTTAAAAACCTATTATCAATTTGGCGCCATTGCCAATTGGGTGTTTGTTTGTTACATTTGAGATTTCAGACTTGCTTAGATCAAGTTCTTTTTCAATTTTCTTTTCGGTTACTAATTGTGTGTTTTTCTTGTTGTCTTCTTGATCCAGGTTCACCTCTGCTGTATGCGAACTCGATCAACAGGCAATCAGAACCTCCTTTTCAACGACAACATCGACCGCATAGCTCGCGAACTCAGAGAAAGGAGAAACATAGTCAACCTTGTACCTCAGCAACCACTCGAAATGGCTGAAGAATAAAATCAACAAAATGGCCCTGCCAACATTGGTGCTGGAGATGCACCACGTGATCACCGTCAGAGGAAAGGAATTGCACCTCCTGCTATCCAGAACAACAACTTCGAGATTAAGAGTGGTCTCATCTCGATGATTCAGGGGAACAAATTCCATGGTCTGCTAATGGAGGATCCACTCGACCATCTTGATGAATTCGATAGGCTCTGCAACCTAACAAAGATCAATGGTGTCAGTGAAGACGGATTCAAGCTCCGTTTGTTTCTTTTCTCCTTGGGCGACAAAGCACACATCTGGGAGAAGAATCTGCCCCATGACTCAATCACCACCTGGGATGACTGCAAGAAGGCTTTTCTATCAAAGTTCTTCTCCAATGCCAGAACTGCAAGACTCAGAAATAAGATTTCTTGTTTTCTCACAGAAGACTGGTGAAAGCTTCTATGAAGCATGGGAGCGTTTCAAGGGTTACACCAACTAATGCCCTCATCAAGGCTTTACTAAAGCCTCTCTGCTCAGCACTCTCTACAGAGGAGTCCTACCACGCATCAGAATGCTTCTAGATATTGCCAACAATGGAAATTTCCAGAACAAAGATGTTGAAGAAGGCTGGGAATTGGTTGAGAACTTAGCTCAATCAGATGGTAATTACAACGATGACTGTGATAGGACCGTCAGAGGCACAGCTGACTCAGATGACAAACACATGAAGGAGATCAAAGCGCTGAATGACAAGCTGGACATGATTCTTCTTAGCCAGCATAAGCATGTGCACTTCCTTGTTGATGACGAGCAGTTTCAAGTCCAAGATGGGGAGGGTAACCAGTTGGAAGAAGTCAGCTACATCAACAACAACCAGGGTGGCTGCAAAGGATACAAGAACTTCAAAACCAACAACCCCAACCTCTCCTACCGCAGCACCAACTTTGCTAATCCTCAGGATCAGGTGTATCCTCCACAGCAACAACAACAAACCCGATGTTATAAGCCTAAGTAGTGTTTCCTTGTTAGAAGACACAAAGCCAAAGACTCATATGGAATTTGGCTACACCATGAAAGCTTTGAGAAGCAAGAAGAAGGTTGGTTAGTATTTTGGAGTCGAATATGACTTAATGTCAAGTGTATTATTGAGTATAAGAACATAAACCACAACCGGATCTTAAATGCGTAAGAATTGTATCCTTGTTAGAAGACACAAAGCCAAAGACTCATATGGACTTTGGCTACACCATGAAAGCTTTGTGAAGCAAGAAGAAGGTTGGTTAGTGTTTTGGAGTTGAATATGACTTGATGTCATATGTATGATTGAGTATAAGAACTTAAACCGCAACCGGATCTTAAAGGCGTAAGAATTGTATCCTTGTTAGAAGACACAAAGCCAAAGACTCATATGGAATTTAGCTACACCATGAAAGCTTTGAGAAGCAAGAAGAAGGTTGGTTAGTGTTTTGGATTCGAATATGACTTGATGTCATGTGTATGATTGATTATAAGTACTTAAACAACAACTGGATCTTAAAGGCGTAAGAATTGTATCCTTGTTAGAAGACACAATGCCAAAGACTCATATGGACTTTGGCTACACCATGAAAGCTTTGAAAAGCAAGAAGAAGGTTAGTTAGTGTCTTGGAGTCGAATATGACTTGATGTCATGTGTATGATTTAGTATAAGAACTTAAACCGCAAACGGATCTTAAAGGCGTAAGAATTGTATCCTTGTTAGAAGACACAAAGCCGAAGACTCATATGGACTTTGGCTACACCATGAAAGCTTTGAGAAGCAAGAAGAAGATTGGTTAGTGTTTTGGAGTCGAATATGACTTGATGTCACGTGTATGATTGAGTATAAGAACTTAAACCGCAACCGGATCTTAAAGGCGTAATAATTGTATCCTTGTTAGAAGACACAAAGCCAAAGACTCATTTGGACTTTTTCTACACCATGAAAGCTTTGAGAAGCAAGAAGAAGGTTGGTTAGTGTTTTGGAGTCGAATATGACTTGACCTCATGTGTATGATTGAGTATAAGAACTTAAACCGCAACCGGATCTTAAAGGCGTAAAACTTGTATCCTTGTTAGAAGACACAAAGCCAAAGACTCATATGGACTTTGGCTACACCATGAAAGCTTTCAGAAGCAAGAGGAAGGTTGGTTTGTGTTTTGGAGTCGAATATGACTTGATGTCATGTCTATGATTGAGTATAAGAACTTAAACCGCAACCGGATCTTAAAGACGTAATAATTGTATCCTTGTTAGAAGACAGAAAGCCAAAGACTCATATGTACTTTGCCTACACCATGAAAGCTTTGAGAAGCAAGAGGAAGGTTGGTTAGTGTTTTGAAGTCGAATATGACTTGACCTTATGTGTATGATTGAGTATCAGAACATAAACCGCAACCCGATGTTATAAGCCTAAGTAGTGTTTCCTTGTTAGAAGACACAAAGCCAAAGACTCATATGGACTTTGGCTACACCATGAAAGCTTTGAGAAGCAAGAAGAAGGTTGGTTAGTGTTTTGGAGTTGAATATGACTTGATGTCATGTATATGATTGAGTATAAGAACATTAACCGCAACCGGATCTTAAAGGCGTAAGAATTGTATCCTTGTTAGAAGACTCAAAGCCAAAGACTCATATGGACTTTGGCTACACCATAAAAGCTTTGAGAAGCAATAAAAAGGATGGTTAGTGTTAGTCGAATATGACTTGATGTCACGTGTATGATTGAGTATAAGAACTTAAACCGCAACTGGATCTTAAAGGTGTAAGAATTGTATCCATGTTTGAAGACACAAAGCCAAAGACTCATATGGACTTTGGCTACACCATGAAAGCTTTGAGAAGCAAGAAGAAGGTTGGTTAGTGTTTTGGAGTCGAATATGACTTGATGTCATGTGTATGATTGAGTATAAGAACTTAAACCGCAACCGGATCTTAAAGGCGTAATAATTGTATCCTTGTTAGAAGACACAAAGCCAAAGACTCATATGGACTTTGGCTACACCATGAAAGCTTTGAGAAGCAAGAAGAAGGTTGGTTAGTGTTTTGGAGTCGAATATGACTTGACCTCATGTGTATGATTGAGTATAAGAACTTAAACCGCAACCCGATGTTATAAGCCTAAGTAGTGTTTCCTTGTTAGAAGACACAAAGCCAAAGACTCATATGGACTTTGGCTACACCATGAAAGCTTTGAGAAGCAAGAAGAAGGTTGGTTAGTGTTTTGGAGTCGAATATGACTTGATGTCATGTATATGATTGAGTATAAGAACTTAAACCGCAACCGGATCTTAAAGGCGTAAGAATTGTATCCTTGTTAGAAGACACAAAGCCAAAGACTCATATGGACTTTGGCTACACCATGAAAGCTTTGAGAAGCAAGAAGAAGGTTGGTTAGTGTTTTGGAGTCGAATATGACTTGATCTCATGTGTATGATTGAGTATAAGAACTTAAACCGCAACCGATCTTAAAGGCCTAAGTAGTGTATCCTTGTTAGAAGACACAAAGCCAAAGACTCATATGGACTTTGGCTACACCATGAAAGCTTTGAGAAGCAAGAAGAAGGTTGGTTAGTGTTTTGGAGTCGAATATGACTTGATGTCATGTGTATGATTGAGTATAAGAACTTAAACCGCAACCGATCTTAAAGGCGTAAGAATTGTATCCTTGTTAGAAGACACAAAGCCAAAGACTCATATGGACTTTGGCTACACCATGAAAGCTTTGAGAAGCAAGAAGAAGGTTGGTTAGTGTTTTGGAGTCGAATATGACTTGATATCATGTGTATGATTGAGTATAAGAACTTAAACCGCAACCGGATCTTAAAGGCGTAAGAATTGTATCCTTGTTAGAAGACACAAAGCCAAAGACTCATATGGACTTTGGCTACACCATGAAAGCTTTGAGAAGCAAGAAGGAAGGTTGGTTAGTGTTTTGGAGTCGAATATGACTTGATGTCATGTGTATGATTGAGTATAAGAACTTAAACCGCAACCGGATCTTAAAGGCGTAATAATTGTATCCTTGTTAGAAGACACAAAGCCAAAGACTCATATGGACTTTTTCTACACCATGAAAGCTTTGAGAAGCAAGAAGAAGGTTGGTTAGTGTTTTGGAGTCGAATATGACTTGACCTCATGTGTATGATTGAGTATAAGAACTTAAACCGCAACCCGATCTTATAAGCCTAAGTAGTGTTTCCTTGTTAGAAGACACAAAGCCAAAGACTCATATGGACTTTGGCTACACCATGAAAGCTTTGAGAAGCAAGAAGAAGGTTGGTTAGTGTTTTGGAGTCGAATATGACTTGATGTCATGTGTATGATTGAGTATAAGAACTTAAACCGCAACCGGATCTTAAAGGCGTAAGAATTGTATCCTTGTTAGAAGACACAAAGCCAAAGACTCATATGGACTTTGGCTACACCATGAAAGCTTTGAGAAGCAAGAAGAAGGTTGGTTAGTGTTTGGAGTCGAATATGACTTGATGTCATGTGTATGATTGAGTATAAGAACTTAAACCGCAACCGGATCTTAAAGGCGTAAGAATTGTATCCTTGTTAAAAGACACAAAGCCAAAGACTCATATGGACTTTGGCTACACCATGAAAGCTTTGAGAAGCAAGAAGAAGGTTGGTTAGTGTTTTGGAGTCGAATATGACTTGATGTCATGTGTATGATTGAGTATAAGAACTTAAACCGCAACCGGATCTTAAAGGCGTAATAATTGTATCCTTGTTAGAAGACACAAAGCCAAAGACTCATATGGACTTTGGCTACACCATGAAAGCTTTGAGAAGCAAGAGGAAGGTTGGTTAGTGTTTTGGAGTCGAATATGACTTGACCTCATGTGTATGATTGAGTATCAGAACATAAACTGCAACCCGATGTTATAAGCCTAAGTAGTGTTTCCTTGTTAGAAGACACAAAGCCAAAGACTCATATGGACTTTGGCTACACCATGAAAGCTTGGAGAAGCAAGAAGAAGGTTGGTTAGTGTTTTGGAGTCAAATATGACTTAATGTCATGTGTATGATTGAGTATAAGAATATTAACCGCAACCCGATCTTAAAGGCGTAAGAATTGTATCCTTGTTAGAAGACACAAAGCCAAAGACTCATATGGACTTTGGCTACACCATGAAAGCTTTGAGAAGCAATAAAAAGGTTGGTTAGTGTTAGTCGAATATGACTTGATGTCATGTGTATGATTGAGTATAAGAACTTAAACCTCAACCGGATCTTAAAGGTGTAAGAATTGTATCCATGTTTGAAGACACAAAGCCAAAGACTCATATGGACATTGGCTACACCATGAAAGCTTTGAGAAGCAAGAAGAAGGTTGGTTAGTGTTTTGGAGTCGAATATGACTTGATGTCATGTGTATGATTGAGTATAAGTACTTAAACAGCAACTGAATCTTCAAGGCGTAAGAACTGTATACTTGTGAGAAGACACAAAGCCAAAGACTCATATGGACTTTGGCTACACCATGAAA